CCAGGAATTAAACTCACAACCTCGCACTTGGCAGGCAGGCGCTTGCGCCACTGAGCTATATCCCCGGCCCCAGCTGGGGTGTACTTAATACTTCTAAGATAGGATTTTAAGTAGATAGCTAAATAGAGTGGATCCTTCACATTTTTAAATCTAGTTCTACTCTGCTGAGTAAACACAAGGAAATTAAGACCCAACAAGATTAAGGGAATGAGTTTTTAAAAAACATCACACAAAACTATTCTGCAGTAAAGCCAAGATTCGATTCAGAGGTAAAGCGCCATGTGTAAGGCGGGAATGCACCCGTGCGAAGTGACCAGTGCAATCGAGTGTCTGACCCTGCACTCCACGGCATCCCACGTCACGCCCACCCGCCCTGGACACCACGGAGGGAGACTACCTGACACTGTCCAGCTGCAGCTGTGTGTGCAGGTGCCGCTCCGACAGCTGGCCCAACTCTCTCTCCTGGCTGTCTCGGAAGGAACCATACTCCAGTTTCACAGCAGACAGCTCCTTGTCAGCAGAGTGAAGGACCAGTCGCAGGTCACGTACCTCACTTTTCAAGACTAAAAACAAAACAGGTCCTCAGAGGGTTTCTTTCAGGTGGTTTCATAAAGCACACAAAACAATTAGTAGAGAGATGCCATCAGAGAAGCTGAAGAGCTCAGGACCAGGACTAGTGAGACTTGCTTTCTCCTCTCCCCGCTCCCTGTGCTTCCTACATTTCTACTGAAAAAGAAGAGCTAACACCTGTCTCTCACTTGCAGGTCACGTGACTTTTTAGATTCTCCTGTAGAATGTGCATGACAACTCCTTCTATAAGAAAAAAATCCAGGGGAGGGAGCGGGACGCGACGCGGGGAGGCCGCGCCTGGCGGAGGCCGGGCGCCGTGGTGTGCGGGGAGGAGCACGGGACACGCTGCCCACGGAGAGGAGCATGTCCGCGACGCGAGCCAAGAAAGTGAAGATGGCCACCAAGTCCTGCCCCGAGTGCAACCAACAGGTTCCCGTTGCATGTAAATCATGTCCCTGTGGTTACATATTTATTAGCAGCAAACTTTTAAATGCAAAACACTCAGAGAAATCACCATCTTCTACAGAAAACAAGCATGAGGCCAAGAGGAGGCGAACAGAGAGAGTTAGGAGAGAGAAGATAAATTCTACAGTAAATAAAGATTTAGAAAACAGAAAGAGATCTCGAAGTAACAGCCATTCAGATCATATCAGACGAGGAAGAGGAAGACCTAAAAGTGCATCTGCCAAAAAACATGAGGAAGAAAGAGAGAAACAGGAAAAGGAAATTGACATCTATGCTAACCTCTCTGATGAAAAGGCTTTCGTGTTTTCAGTCGCCTTGGCAGAAATAAATAGAAAAATTATCAATCAAAGACTTATTCTCTGATCCTTATTTGAAGAATCTGTCGAAACTTCCTTCAGGATTACATCAGCAAATTCTCAAAGTGATGGACTCTCAGGAGCATTCTGACTGCATCAATAAGGGGCATTGATTTTTTTTTTATTTATCATTTAGCCTGTGCCACACTTTTGGAGCAAAGCCGTATGCTCGGACTGTTCTGGGATTTTCTTGTTTACCAAGGAATATTGTCAGTGTTTTGTGTTGGGATATAAGTAGGGGTATTTGCAAAACCAAACCAAAATGTTGGATGGATGGATGTTAAAGATAAAAAGGGTCAGAGTAGGTGTGCAAGTATGAAAACAAAGGAAATGAAATGCTCAATAGTTTTCATGTTTGGCACCAGAGATGCAGTATTTTAAATACTATCAGAAAGAGTGATGTTTAAATATATACGTATACAGCAGATTTTCAGTACTAGCAGGTAGCATATATACAGTTCATTTACCTTTAATAAATTGGCAACTGGTATTTTATTGAATGGGGAATTAAGAATATAAGCTGTAAATTTGTCCTCAACTGATTTTTTTTTTCCCTAGGCAATTTTTATGACAGGTATGAGTTATATTTTTAGATATACTTTCTAAACAGTTTGGAAGTTTGGGTGCTATATGAAGAAAACATTTAAGGATGTATCATACTTCAGATGTAGACACCTTGTTTTATTGAATGTAATTTATTTATTGCTTACAAAAAACTTTTCTCAGAATGGTGCCTGTTAACCTAAACTTAGAATATATTTATTACAAGCAAAATATTTCTTAGATAGCCACTTACATAAGCAGTAATGTTTCATCTGAGTGGATGTACATTTATACATCCTGATAATTATTTAAATTGTTACTTAACCTCACTGAAAGAAAAAAAAAAAACCTAAAAATGAAAACAAAAAAAAAAAAAAAGAAAAAAATCCAAAAACAAAACAAAACAAATACCCCATGAGATTTAATGTTTATGACATCACCTAATATTAGTTATTGAAAATCCTTTGTAACTATCAGAACTTTAGAATATGGTCTAAACACTTCTAGTTTCTAAAGAAACTCTACCTGGAAAGTGAATTAGGAAACTGTTTACATCAAAGGAGGGTTTGGTTTTGTTTTAGCTTTTTAGCTACTACAAATACTTTGATGAAATTAAATTGAAAAACAAAAAACCTGGGAATTAAATGATGCCCCCACATCTACAAATGCAGATAAATAATTCATGCTTCTTTTTTTGTCTTTTTGAGACAGGGTTTTGCTATTCAGTTTAGGCTGGCCTTGAACTCACTCTGTAGCTCATACCGGCCTGGAACTTGCAGCAATCCTCCTGCCTCAGCCTCCAGAGTGCTGGGATTATAGCATGCACCACCACACCTGGCAATTTATGCTTTTTTCTATTGATATTAAAATATTCATCCTATTACATCAAGATACTTTTTCGAGACAGGATCTCATTGCTTAGTTCAGGCTGGCCTTAAATTCACTATATAGCAAAAGCTGCTCTCAAACTCCTAGTGATCCTCCTGCCTCAGCCTCTCAAATGCTGGGATTACAGGCATGCGCCACCACGCCCAGTTAGGACACTTCATTTTGAAGGCAGTTTACTTATAACTTTAGCAAACATTTATGTCATGTCTAACAACAAAACAGCCAACCAAAAAAAAGCACAGGGATGATGTTACGGTTTATGTTAGACATTTCCCCAAAACCTCATGTGCTGACAGGTGAGGTTTTTGGGAGTGATTGGATTATGGCTATGATACTGGAGCAGTTTACTGATTGGCTTACATAGTTCTGGGTATGGATGATGGACTGACTGGGGAGGGGGACCCAACATGGTTGGTAGCACCAACCAATAGACTTGTAGCATGGATGGAATAAAAAGGCGAAGGAGGAGAAAGCTGTGCTGCTTCCTGCCTTCCATGCCATGAGCTCTTTCTCCTCTGCTGTGCTCCTCTGCCAAGCCCCCCTGCCTCAGGGTCATCAACTACGGACTCTACCAACTGGGAGTTAAAAAAATGTTTTGCTCCTTTATCTTGTGGGTGTGGGGTACTTTGTCCCAGCAATGAAGAAAGATATTAAGACAGATGACAGTAACCTAAATGAATAAAAGGACCCTGCATTGTAGTCCCCTGGTCAGGTCACAAAGATCCTAATTGTTCACACTTACGGTCATTCTCCGTCTGTGAGTCTTGAAACTGCTTCTCAAGGATACTGAGCTGTAAGAGATGCTCTTGCTGCTGGTTGGTCCAATTAGTTCTTTCAGACGAGAAAAGCTTTGGGAAAGAGACAGGATTATTGGAAAAGGAATGCTGGCCTTCTAAGATACAGTCCAAATCATTAAGTCTCTTCTGTTTTGAGTGGTTAGTTGTAGGTTTCTGACCAGAAGAAACTTGGCTTTTTTAGGAACTATAGTTAAAGTGACCAAGAAAACACTGGATCATGGCAAGAGCATGGATAAGCCATCTCATTTTCTTCTAAAAACCAGCAAAGGATCTATGTGCACTGCCGATGAAGCTGGCCAGAATTCAGGCAGTGAATGCCTGCCTCATTACTATGCGAAGTCAGTGTCAACTGAGGCTTTGGGAGGACACTTTAGTCCCATGAGGCTCTGACTCTGAGCATGTCTTTTACACTATGCCACACTCCTGTGCTCACCTCCTGCATCTGCGTAGAATGGTGTTCCAGTCTGTCAACATGCTGCTTAAGTTTTAGATTTTTATGACTTTCTTCATCCAATTTCACCTGAAGAGCACTCATTTGCTCCTGCAACACACAGATTTCAGCCATCAAATTTCTTTTCATAGAATCTGTAATCCTTCACATTTCTTTTTTCATTAAAGAGACAAGATACACAATACAACAAGACAGCAATACAAAACTGCATATAAATGTTAGCAAAGGCCTGTTTGGAGGCAGAAAACTTCAAATGGCTATCCTGATCAATTCTTCTGTTTTCGAATCATAGGTGTGGCTCATCAAACTGCATAATTTAACATGCAAATGTAAGAAGGATTCAACCACAGAGCCCTCCTGAGACTCTGAGCAGAGCTGCACGGGTTACCTCTGCAGAAAGGCCTCCACTCTTCAAAAGGGCAAATCACTGGGATTCAGAGTAGGCCAGTACTCCAAGTTGTACTGGACAGCAGGAAAAAAATATTTTAAGTTATCAAATCAATGGAACTCCAAGAAAGTGCAATCTCACCAGTTATAGCAAATGCACTAAAAGCTGTCTAAAATGTGACCTCTGGTAAGACTCTATTAAATATTTTAACTTCTTTTAGAACATAGCCCTATGTTTTACAAGTCAGTTTTGAAACATGAGGCTAGCAATAAAATGGTCATCTTACACATGAAGGCATGGAAGCCCACAAGTGGAGAATGATTTGCTTAAGACAGTAAAATGAATTAAAGGAGTAAGAGTGGGCTGGTTTCTAAGACAAGCATCCTTAAGACCCACACTTAAAGAGATCTGATTTTAATACTAAGTATATTTGAACACTGTAGGTTATAAGCAGTTAAAATAAGACAGAGAAAAGTTATTTAAATGAATGTCCAATTATTTGCTTTCTTCTAAAACAAAACATTACCTGCACTGTTCTAAGCTCTTCAGAAATGGCCTCGAAAGCTTGTTCACTCATCTCGGGGGGCACAGGCTCATTTAATATATCATTATCTAATTTGCTGCAATTCTGAGTGCGTGTAGAGCTAAAGTTCCCTATTTCAGGGCTTAATTTTGGTACTAATCGAGAACGAAGTTGATAAGCCTTGGTTGGTGTAGTTATAATCTGCCAAAAAAAAAAAAAAAAAAAAATTATAGCCAGCAATATTTGCATATGTACAAAGAATAGCATATTTAGCAATTTCATGAACATAGAAGATAAAACTCAATACACGAAAAAGAAAAAGGGAAAAATGTCCTTGAGAAACACAATAAAAATGACCAAAAGGAAGTAAATCCATCAGAGTTCAACATATTCCCAAAACAAATTCCAGTATGGGTTTTAAAAATGAAACTTGGTAAGTTGATATCTAACTTTATACAAAGAATTAAAACATAAGAAACATCTCTCTATCCAATGTAAAACATTATAAATGTAACAGGGTGTGGTGTTTAAAACCATGCTTTATTAGCACATGTATAGTCAAACAAAATAGTGGGAAAAGATACAAAGTCCAAAACAAGTGAAATATTTCTACCATTCAAAAAAAAAAAAAAAACAAACCAGAGCACCCAATGTAAAAACCAAAATAAAGGCACAAAGCAAGTTAAAATGAAAAGGTCTTTAAGCCTGGCTACATCAAAATTGTAAGCTCGTGTAACAGAAGCACCAAAGACAAAAACGAAATACAGGCAACATGAGGGTGGAACACATCGGCAGTGTGCACAACTGACAGGGTAGTACAGGAGAAGTGCAAAGCCCAAGAGAAAAACCAACAACCTATAGAAATGGGCTCCTTCATGGAAAAGCAGATGACCTTCACCAGAAATGAGGGAAGTGAGAATTAAACCCTTAAGATCTCATTCTGTGCCCAGCAGAATGTCAACTGTCACGGAACCTGAGGACATCTGTGTGGAGGGCAGTGCCTTCTCCAGGACACTCCCGGCACGGTCACTGGAGGGGATGAGCTGGATGTCCTGAGACCACCCTTTCAACAAGATGCATGCCAGAGAGTAAGTGCCCTGGCATCTAAAGCACGAGAGGTTCCAATGGTGGACAGCTGGATTTAAAATGAGGTAGCATTCTAGGAACGGATTAACATGGAACGACCTGAGGCAGATTGTGATTTGAATACCGAAAAATACTGCAGAATAACATAGGCAGGGTGACTCCAATTTTTTTAAGAAGCAAAATAAAAACAAACTGAAACAATGGACCTAGACTGGCACTGGTGCTCAAAAAGAAGTGTAGCCTTAGGGACAGTGGTGTGTGTGCACATACATGTGTATGTGTGTGTCTATAACTTCTTTTAAACAAAGCAAATATATTCATAAAGTATTCATATAATTAAACTACAACAGAAGATCTGTTGGGTTTTTTTTTCCCGGTACCGGGAATCAAACTCAGGTCCTCACGCTTGCCAGGCAGGCGCTGTGCCACTAAGCTAAATCCCCAGCCCGTACAACAGAAGATCTGAATTGCTAGGCCTCTTTTCACACTGTAACTCTACCATGCTAAAGGGCCCCTCAGGATTATAAAACATTTGGCAAGATTCTACATATTGGCAATGTCCTACCTATATTAAAAAGAAAAAAAAAGCCAAAGGAAAAAGCTGGCCACTATGGTGCATGCCTGTAATTCCAGTTGAGGCACATGGATCACAAGTGTGAGGTCAACCTGGATAACTGTAAGATTCTGTGTCAAAATAAAATCACAGGGCCAGGGAGAGAGTTCAGCCCCACTGGCACCTGCCTGGCAAGGACAAGGTCCTGAGTTGGATTACTCGTACCACAAAGAAAAAAAAAAAAGGAAAAAGTGATAGGGATACAGCTCAGAACTCCCTGGATTCAATCCCTAGTACTACCAATGCCCCTCAACCTACCTTTATAGAAAAAAATTTTATAGGTTAAAATTGTGAAATGTCCTCATTATAGATTCTTATACAGTTGCCAAAGCTAACAAAAACTAGGAAAGCAAACAAAAACAGAAGAAAGCTTTTCCTCTCCTTCAGACATAAGACAAACTAAAATATCATTGTTATAGAGGCAAGAACGAGGCTCAGAGGTTCAGAAACCCTGAGGCCAAGGGCAGATCAGGACTTGATTCCAGTGCTTATTCCTTGGTGCCCAGCCTGTAAGGGATGCACGGGAATCTGAAGACGGACCACACAGACTGCATTAACAATAACAGAAACACACGACTTCAGACAGGAGCGCTCCTTCACATAACCTACCTTAAGGGTCTCAGCGTGAATTTTATTCAGCTGAGAAACCTCTTGCCGCTTGCAGGCTTTTGTTGCTTCTAAAAGGTTTTCAAGATTAAGGTTTGCTTTTCGCAAAGACTGAATCTCAGATTCTGATTCTAGCTGCTTCTTCCTACAAGATATTGTAAAACTGAGTATTTCAGGTAAAAAATGATATCACATATTTGCAAAGTATTTTACAGCTTGTATTTATACACAACTTCACAGCTCTTTCTTTAAATCAGAGGTGTTCTCTCAGAATATCTTTCCATGATCATGTTCAGGCTGGTCAAACATGGCTTGGGGAATGACAGCTACTTAAGGAGTTCAGTTAGTGGACGGTGAAGGGCAAATGCAGGGGTCCAGAGGCCTGTGACAGGGCCACTTATATCACTTTTAAACCAAATGCTTCTTCGTATTTTAGGATAGGGTCAGTCTTCATTATATCAATGTGGTTTATCTTTTTTTTTTTTATACAACAAGCACCAAGTAAGAATATTAACAAGCCTGTAATTTTAAAAAACCCCAATTTAGTTCATAACAACTATGATTTAAATGTGGTCATGAGCTTGGAGTGGTGGTGCACAACTGAATCCCCAGCACTCAGGAGGCTGAGGCAGGAGGATTGCCACGAGTTTGAGGCCAGCCTAGGCTACACATCGAGACTCTGTCTCAAACAAACAAAAGTGGCAATGAGACAAAGCATTTGCTATGCAAGCTCCAGTGACACTCATCTCAACAACAGCACTACTTAAAACGTGCGTGTCATCTCCCACACTAGAAACAGAGCAAAGGCGAAACACGAAAGGCCCCTTTCCTTCATGTCAGATAAGTTCGCTGTGAGGAGGAGAGTTTCATACTGAGAGGGAAGTGCCCCGTGAACTTCACGATGTTACACTAATGCGTACCAACGCTACAAGAAAACAGGTGAGTACAGATGCATTTACACTTTACCGAGTCAGTTCTTTGAATTCTTCACATTCTTGCTTTGAATTATTCAGCTCTGTCTGAACTTGCAGGAGCTGTGCTTTCAGCTTCTCAACATTTGTGAATGAGCTTGGCTGTCTCAGAGCTGTGGGAGAAAATTCTGGATGACCTGGTAATATGGAAACAATCTCAGTCTTTGAAAGAGGAAAATAACCCCCCCACACACACACACACACACAGAGCCCTGGTACTGGTGACCCAGGGTCACCTCAATGAGCTACATTCCTCCAGCCTTTTGCATAATATTTTCATTTTGAGACAGAGTCTTGCTAAATTGCCCAGGCTGGGCTCAAACACATGATCCTCCTGCCTCAGATGCCCATAATGCTGGGATTACAGGTATGCACCACCATGCCTGGCTAAAAAACATGTTTTTTTTTTTTTTTTTGTCTTTTTGAGACAGGGTCTTGCTATGCAGTTCAGGCTGGCCTTGAGCTCGCTTTGTAGCCCAGGCTGGTCTCGAACTCGCAACAATCCTCCTGCCTCAGCCTCCCGAGTGCTGGGATTACAGGTATGCGCCACCATGCCCGGCTAACAATGTGGTTTCTACGTGCTCTGACAGCCATCAATCTGGATGCATGAAGAAGATAAACAGGAAGTTGGAATACAGGCTCTAAAGTAGAAGGACCTCATCAGGAGATACATGATCCAACATACTTTGCCAGAGAGGCTTAGAAATAGTGTTCAAGAAGCAGAGAGGCTACAGAATGGACAGGCAGCGTGGAGGTGGCGCCTCTTCCACTGGGACAGAGAGCCAACAATGAAGGTGCACGCACAATGCCGGACGGAGAAATGGCACAGTGCTGAGCTTGCAGGAAGGAGTGTCAGCAGCCAGTCTGAACAGACAGGAACCATTCAGAGAAGAAAGTAAGTAACAAGGGCAGCACCCTGGAAGAACTTGGTATCATCTCGGATAGAAAACAGACTTCAGGGCCTGATTTGGAGACAGAACATCAGAGTCTACCGAGTCCCAGTGTGGGACAAGAGCACGTAAACGTTTGGAGCACCACGTTGGTTTAGGAACTGGTCTCAGAAATTACCCCTGGTCTCGTTCAAAGGTAGTAAGTGACAATGCTATGAGGCCCAAAGGCCAACAAAACACAGAGTATTACAGGGAAAGAGAACTACATGAGTATTTCCTTGTTACATTCTTTAGCCGATGTGATTTACTATTCTGTGATTTGGCAAGAAAATAATTAGTAAGTAAACTCCTTTTTTGTAACGTAAATAATAAGTATATGTGTAAGAAATCAGCCCGCAGGCTCTGGAGGCAAAGATGAAGACTCTGCCTGCAAAGCACTAACAGTGCCCTTTCCAATAGTCTCTCCCTGTGCCAGGTGTGGTGGCTTCCACTAGTAATTTCAGTGCTTGGGAGGGAGGCTGAGGCAGGAGGACGGCTGTGCGTTCACGGCCAGCTTGGGCTATGCAGTAGTGAGATGGGGGTCTCAGCCCTTCTTAGAGGAAGCATTTCTTACCTTTGTTGTCTTTCTCTGTGTCAGACGCTTCGGAGAAAGCTTTTTCTAGTTTGGCAATGGTCTGGGCATCCATTTCATGGGCTCTCTTTACAGGTTCTAGTAACCTCAGTCTTCTGTTTTCCTCTCGGAGGGAGTGGTTTTCCATGGCATACTTTGCAACTCTGGGGTGGTGCTCTATCTGTGGCACACAGTAAAGACACAATTATAACGCATTTGCAAATACAGCCCTACTGAACTGCCACTCTGCTGCAAGCACTGTGAAAGCAGGTCGCACTTGAGGTCAGGTTGAAGCGTGTGTTCCTGACACTCTGCCTACACTGAGTTGCCTCATTCTCTCATCCAGGCACCGGGGCAGACCAGCACAAGAGGACACCATGTGGCAGGGCCTCACACAAGATCCATGCACTGAAAAGGGTGAGGACACCTTCTCTCCCCCAGATCAAAATGCCCCCCAAGACGGGTGAACTGAAAAAGGCACAGTGCAGAACAGTGTAAAACAAATTAAAGCGCAAAAGTATTTATTCTATGAGTCTCAGCAGGCATTACAAACTCTGGAAAGTGACATAAAAAGCTCATGCAGTATTCTGATTTTTAACTAGGTGCTTTTGCCTACTCATTCATCCTCCCCAGAAAAAGAAAATAACAAGGACAAAACTTCAAAGGCTCAAGGCTGAAGAGACTGCCAACGTGGGTAGGCACAGCTGCCCAGGGTCTTTCGTTTCTTCTTCAGGCTTGGGCAGGGGCAGAAATCAAGCAAACCATACTGTGCATTCATTGCAAACCATTTCCACGCTACGAAAGAGCAAGTGTGAAGCCCAGCTGCGCACGCACTCACCTGCTCCCGCAGCATCTGGACCTCAGCCCTCAGTTCTGAGAGCAGGCGATCCTGCTCCTCAGCCAGGAAGCTGCCCGGGGGCTCCTTCAGAAGCTTCTCCAGGCGCATGATGTACGCCTCTCGCAGTTTCACAATCATTTTATAAGACTGAATAAACTTTTCCTTTTTGAGGATGAGATCTTCTGATTGGGTAATTTTTTCTACCAGAGACTTAAGAAATTCAGTTTGGTTAAACATCAAAAATAAGTTTCCCTAAATCGTCAGAAACCCAGCAACAAATACTATGAATTTGATCATAAATTTTAGACTATGATTTGATCTTAAATTATTTAGATTCTCACTGCCTTCCTTTATTTCCTTTATTAACCGGGGACTAGCTCACACTACGGCACTAAAAACCACACCAAAATACCTTGAATCCCCTTTAACTTAATTAGTTTCCTACCTTCTTTTCCTGTTCGGATTTCTTAAAGCGTAACATTGCCTCCAGGAAACACTCCTTGTATTTACTCTTCTCTTCAACGGACCCAGCAAGAAAGAAAAAAGGGAGAAAATGATTTTTTGTGAAATTTTAAAACCAAGAGTTCTATTCACAGCTATTCTCCGTTGAAGGGCCTGTGCTCCTCCTACCTCCGGGCAGGAAGCTGTCCTGGGGCCCCTGCCCAGAAGCGAGCTGGGCCAGTTGTTCTCGGAGCCTCTTCACTTCGGCTTGGAGCTGGCTCACGTTTCCCTGGGTGTCTTCGTTCACCACCGCCTGTTCCAGAATGCACAAAGGGTTAGTGTGGTGCTTTTGGAGCTGCACAGTCCTGTGTCTACACTTGTTTGTATGTGTCAGAATGATGAACATTAAACACATCTGCTTCTGTAGTCAAGAGGCCACCGCAATCAGCGTGTGTGGAAAGGGCAGGAAGCTTCCTTTCCTTGGCTGTGGGCCTAGAGCAGTGACAGCAAACCTTTTAGAGCATTCGCGGCTGGCTCACCCCTCGACCTGAGCGGGTGGCCCTGATTTCCTTCCCTCTCAGAATGACACCCAGGCCCCGCAGGAGAGAAGAGTGAACGCCTCAGTGGGTGCCATTTCCTTGGCATTGGTTCCTAAGGGCACAGTGACTTGCAGGGCTGGCTCAGCCCCACCGCTCAGCACAAACAGCCCGCTCTGAGGACGCAGACCTTCGTTTCCTACCTGCCCGTTGTTTATATAGACATCCCCAAAGCCTCGCAGACTCGTGGGGCCTTCTGACGTGTGAGCGAACCATGGGGCAGCTAACTGTGCCGCGAGGAGGTGGGGCCTGGTCTGAGACGCAGGCCATGGGGTGTGGCCTGGAAGGGCTTCTCTCTCTCCTCGGCCTCTGCCTTCACTCTCTGCTTCCTGGCTGCCAAGACACGTGTGGCTCTCCCCCACCCAGCCCTTTTCACCAGGTCTGTGTGCCGTGGGGTCGGCCAACTATGGACTAAAACCGGGAGCCAAGATACGTGAAGTTGCCAGTCGGTGTTTGGTGACAACAGCGCCCTCCCTGAAGGCGGGGCTGGTTTCTGCATCTTCCTGTGAGGAAGAACGGTCTTGCCAAAACCTCGAAAGGTAAGAAGGCTCACAGCAAAGGTACCGCTGCGGGTGGGAGGCTGCACATAGGAGACCGGGAGTACACGGTGCTCTCTGCACTTCCTGCTCAGCTTTGCTGTAAGTCTATTTTTTTTTTTTTTTGGTTTTTTCTCCGATACTGGGAACCGAACTCACGACCTTGCGTTTGCCAGGCAGGCGCTTTTGCCGCTGAGCTAAATCCCCAGCCCCGTGCTGTAAGTCTAAAACTGCTGGAAAAGCTTATTGCTTACAAAGATACATTTGAAAAAGGCCCACACACCCACACAGGTAACAACAAGTGCTGACAGCTGAACACCGACCCAGCCCAACAGAAGCACCAGGGTGCTCCAGCCGTGACACACCCATGCGCTCTGCACGGACGGACGCCAGCACGCCTGCCCACGTGGGAAAGTGTGAATGGCCCCAGTGCCCAAGCACTTGGCCTGGCAGGTGGCAGGGCTGACTGCTGTGACTTGTACAAAGCTCCTCGTTTTGTTGAGTAGTTGGAACAGAGGCTGTTCACCCAAGACGCATAAAACAGTTACCAGCTGAGTCTTACAAGGAGTTTTTTGACCAAAGTGCATAGTAACATCGAAGAAGCTTCTTGCATGTAAAATAAAAGATGGAATCCTTGGCAATGTAAACAACGTGAAGGGCAAAGTGTGTCAGCACTAGCAAAGTACTTTCACACAATTCCCTCCCTACGATACTCACCACGTGTGCGAGGGGAAGGTGGACACAGACATACACCAGATCTGCTAGCACTGTATAGGCTAATATATTCAAATATAGCAAAAGAAATACTTTGCCTTAAGAAAGAGCAGCAAAACAATAATGCCCATAGGCATGACCTAGATCTCAAATTACATGTATGTGTAAGGCTCCGAGTTCAGTACCCAGCATGGCAAGGGTGAGGGGAGCAGAAATCTTTCATACAGTTAATATAAGCTTTTATAGAACATAAGTAAGTTGTTGCTAATACTAAGGTAATCACAAAATGGTATACTTAGAGCTTAAGTATTTTCCTAATTTATGTAACACAGCACAGTAGATACTCAGTATTTTACCTTATTTTTAATCAGTTTGGCTCTCTGAGCAAAATTAAGCGTTGACAGTGTTTCTCCAAAACACCTGGACCCAGGATGCACATTTGCGATGATGGCTGTTTTGGCATTACCACCGAGAGAGTCCTGTTCAATATGAACGATACACATTTTAGGTAAGAAGTCAGAAAATCTGTTTTTGTTTTTTTTTTTTTGTCTTTTTTAGACAGGGTCTCACTACGTAGCTCAGGCTGGCCTTGAACTCACAACACTCCTCCTGTCTCAGCCTCCCAAGTGCTGGGATTACAGGCCTGCACTACCAAGCCCAGCTAACAAGATCTTTTTAAGCAAAGAAAAGGTATACTCTTGCCACCAGCACTGACATTGGTCTCCACGAGGATAACAGAAGGTCAGGCACCCAACGATCGACATTACCCGCAGTAAGAAGGTAAGCTTGGAGTCTCTGTAGCAGATATGTCTCTGTTTTCCATTGCCCACATCAACCAGAGCAGTAATCACTTGTCCCAGGCAGCTCAATGATCGGTTTATATTGCCTGCTTCCTAAGACATTGGGGAAAAGAACAAAAATTTAAATGTGCCAGTTACTTTTTGGTGTTGTAAACTAAAATAGATCTAGCAAGTGACACTAAGGATGGAAAGGCACTTTCGGGACAATAGTAAAGACAACTTGAGCTAAAAGAAGAGTATGTTCAGCTACTCTCTGACTTTTCCTATCTGCTCTTCACTGTAACTTGAGAATGATGTGGAAGCAAGGTGTTCAGTAGAAACTACTTCTGCATTAGATCTTTCCCCAAGCCAGTCAAATACAGGACAACCTTGCGAGGCTGGGCACAGCCTCAAGCTAAAGCTCCTGAGGGCCAACAACGGACGCTCCACAGGATACTCCCTGGGCCCCGAAGCTGTGATGGGCGGCAGGCTGGGCGCTCTCAAGAGCACTTTGGGCTTATGCATTTCCAACGTACAATGGGTTTACTGGAACATAACCCACTAGCACGCTGAGAAACCTACACAAACACGCTATTTTCTGAAGCTTTGTATCTCAACAGAAAAGTGAATCCTGGGATGTGGATGCAGCTCGGTGGCACAGCACTTGTCTAGCACATGCAGGCTCCGCATTCCATCCTCAGCACCCAAAAAAATTGCTGCAAAACACAAGCCTTAGGTTGTTGAAATGCCGAGAGCTCAGGAGGCTCAAATCTCGTTTTTTTCTTTTCTTTCTCTTTTGCAGTAGTAGGGACAGAACTGAGGGCCTTGTGCATGCTAGGGAAGCCATCTACTACTCAGCTACACTCCCATACCTTTTCTGTCCTGCTAAGTTGCACAAGCTGGCCTCATACTTGCAATCCTCCTGCCTCAGCCTCTCCAGTACTGGGATTACAGGAATGTCCCATTGCACTGGGCTTCACACCTCACTTTCAATGCAAATAATAGATCTCGCCTCCACCATTTCTGACTCCTCTCCACCAGCTTATACGTATCCTAAATTACAGAATTGGGACCTGTCTTAATGATTCATATTAGAATTACACAGGACCTCTCACACCACTCCTGGCACCTCAGCCTAGGAGTAGGCACCCAGCCCTTCCCGACCGGAACAGTATCACCACTGGTCTTCCCCTCTCTGTGCCTCTCCGCCTGATGCCCAGTGGGAGCTCAGAGGGTCTGAGTTTTCAGAAAACAGCTTTTGCATGAAATCGCTCATTAGTTCAGCACTTTGCAGTGTTTCCCAGAGTTTGGTGAATGTAAACTGATTTGGGCCTCCTTGCCACCTACTCAAGCTGCAATGCCAAGTACCAGGCTCACTCTCTGCATACATGATAACCCTCAAGATGCCACCTGCTGGAACAAGGCCTGGTGGCCTGTGCAGTAACGCCAGCACACTGGGAGACGGAGGTGGGAGGACTGCAAGTTCTAGCCCAGCCTTGACAACTTGGTGAGTCCCTGTCTCACTATAAAAAAATGAAGGCCTTGAGTTCAATCCCCAGTACCACAAAAGGAAAAAAGAAGAAAAAAGCCCTCACCTTACTGGGCATGTACTGTGTTCCATTATCCTCTCTCCTTAGCCAAATCTCTGAGACTTGTGATGACAACGTAAAAACCGCCCCACAGCTCCCCCAGGCAGCCCGTTGTGCCCTGCTCTCTCCCACTGCTTCTGGTAGCATTCTCCCCTCTGCTAAGGACTGAAATGTTCTTGTCACTGACAGACTTGCCCCATCATGTGTATGTTTACTGTCCCTTCTTCATAACAAAGACCTCTGTTCCTTGTTGAGAGCAGCATTTCTTTGCAGTCCTCACCATATTTAGTGTGGAACTGACTTCTAGAAGGAATTCACACACAAGCTGAGGACCACCGTTTCATGTGTACCTTCAGCCTCATCCCTTCTGCATGGGTATCCTTTTGCCGTTCAGACCCTGCTAGGTCCACCAGGTTGAGCTGGGAGGTCCGGATATTCACGACCTCGCTGCTCTTCTGCATGGACTCTACTGTGACCGTAAAGACTGCGTGAGACCTGGAGGACTCCCTGTTCATGGATGTGGACGCCACACGCCTGTTCCTCCACCCTCCAGACAACACCTAGGCCAAAGGAAAGCACACGTGAGAGGCTGCAACGGGCACCCTGGAGACAAACGTAAAACACGAAATAAGCACATGAGAATCACTCACTTTAACAAGAACAATATTGACATGTAAAGAATTACCTGCTTTTTTACAATATCTACACAAAAGGAATTTGTCTTCTGGAACATGAGTGGAGAACACCGACGGCCTTCCTGTTGTTATCTAGTACTGAGACATGTTGTATGGTCACAAGTTCTAAGTGGTACATATGATTATTATTATTATTATTTTGTCTTTTTGAGACAGTGTCTCACTGTGCAGTTCAGGCTGGCCTTGAGCTCACTTTGTAGCCCAGGTTGATCTTGAACTCACAACGATCCACCTGCCTCAGCCTCCTGAGTGCTGGGATTACAGGTGTGTGCCACCACGCCCAGTACCAAGTGGTACATATTAGTGAATTCAAGGATAGTGAATTCAAGGCCAGCCAAGGCTACATAGGGAGACCCTCTCTCACAAAACCCCAACCTCCCCAACAGCCAAGTGATACATATTAGCCAGCAAAATCAGTAGGAAATCTGTAAAGGGTGGGGAGAAGGATTACTGGCATCAAAGAACATACTCAACTTATTTTCCTTCCCTCTCCATACTATCAAAGGAGAACAAACAGTAAGTCAGAAGGCATCAGATCTAGAACTGGTTCTGCCATTCTCTATTTGTGCTAACGTAAATCACAAGATCTGGCCCCCTTTCTTTGTCTAGATAAACTGTGCTGGATCCTCAAAAGAAGTCTAAATTAGGGGCTGGGGATTTAGCTCAGCGGCACAGTACCTGCCTGGCAAGCGTAAGGTCATGAGTTCGATTCCCGGTACCGGAAAAAAAAAAAGTCTAAATTAATTTCAGCCACACAGCTTTATCAGGGTTTCTCTCCTCCTACAAAGTATGATTTCCTTGTCTACTTCCCATGAAAAGCAGGACACCTGAAGGTCAGGCTGCAGGCTCTGGAGTCAGGTGACCCTGAGTACAAAATCCTCCCTTTATTTACAAGGTGTGGTCCACAGCCAACAGAACCTTCCCAAGATACAGTCTCCATATTTGTAAAGTGAGAATATGAGTACCTACCCCACAGGGATTCAGAATGAGGTGGAACCTGAGATTACGCATTTCCAACAAGCTTGCAACTACTGCTAATGATGTGAGAGCCACATTTTGAGTAGCATTATCCCAGTGTGTATAGGGTAAAAGGGGGAATTACAATCTTTATCTGAAAGAGTACAGTGAAAATGAAATGAAACAACGCATACAGGAGTCAGCACAGTGCTGGGCGATATACTCTAAATGTGAGCTGTTACAACCCTCTCTATTCACAGACAATATAAAATGAAAATTATTTGATAGAGGTGGGGATCAAACCCTAGGCTCCCCACATGGTAGTATTTCACCAATGACCTCCCTCTCCAACCCATTTTTATCCTTTATATTTCTTGAATAGCATTTTGTGTTTCCTTCTCATAACATTAAATCAATCATAACATTTTCATACAGTTACAAAAGTTAGAAGTTCCTCAAACACAGGAAAAATTCCAAAATACTATTATCTAAAAAAATGTAAGTTGTAAAGGTAGCATGCCATAGTACTACTTGTGCAACATAAGAGAAAAACAAATACCGGCATTCTTGCTTGGATACTTGTACCAAAATTGAAATACAAATAAAAACCAAAGACCAAAGCCAAAATAGTTGGTGAATATTCCTGGACTCTAAGACTTGATATCTCTTTTGGGTTTGTTGGGGTTTTTTTGTTTTGAATTTTTTTTTGAGACAAGGTCTCACTACATAGCTCAGGCTTGCTTTGAACTCACTGTGTAGTGAGTTCACTACACAGGTCTCACTATGTCTCAGGCTGGCCTGGAACTTGAGGCAATCCTCCTGCCTCAGCCTCCTGAGTGCCAGGATTACAAGCATGCACCACTATGCCCGGCTGGAAAGCTTGATATTGTTAAGACATTAATTCCTCCAAAAATGTCTGACAGATTCAACACAACTCCACTAAAAATCCCAGCTGCTTCTTATTGTACAAATTGACAGGCTGGTTCTATGCAAGTGAAAATGAAAAGAACCAAGAATACCTAAAATAATCCTTAAAAAGAACCAAGTTAGAGGAGTCACTGTACTTTACCATAAGACTTACTACTGAACAACAAGCTATAATAACTGAGACAACATGGCTGAACAGAAGAGGAGCCTCATTCAAAGCTATAATAATGAGAAAAAGCCTGGTGTGGTGGCGCACGCCTGTAATCTCAGCACTCAGGAGGCTGACACTGGAGGATCGTTGCAAGTTCAAGGCCAGCCTGGGCTACATAGTGAGTTCAAGCCCAGCCTGAACTGCAGAGTGAGACCCTGTCTCAAAAAGAAAAAAAACAAATTCAGACAATTTATTATTAGTGAAAAGAGAACTGGATATAGAAAAATCAACTGATTTTCACTCGAAGTACACAAGCCAATGAGAAAATGTCATTTTTTTAACAAATCATATTGCATACTAAATGAAAAACAAAGGAGACCAAACAGAAAGCACTGAGTAAGCCAGACAAAAAACATACTAAGAGCCAGGCATGGTGGTACACACCTGAAATCCCAGCACTCAGGAGGCTGAGCCAGGAGGATTGCTGTGAGTTCAAGGCCAGCCTGGGCTACACAGTTCCAGGACAGCCTGCTACAAAGAGAGACCCTGGCTCAAAAAACAAAACAAGCTGGGTGTGGTGGCGCACTCCTGTAATCCCAGCACTTGGGAGGCTGAGGCAGGAGGAATGTTGCAAGTTTGAGGCCAGCCTGGGCTACAAAGTGAGCTCAAGGTCAGCCTGAACTGCACAGGGAGACCCTGTTTCAAAAAGACAAAAACAAAACAAAAAAACTAAAAAGGTGGTAGAAACCAGTCAACAGTATCAACATCATATTCATGTAAATAAACTAGACAGGATACTTTCAAGAGTAGTTAAAAAAACAATCAAAATATAGCTACATGGTTTACCAGAAACACTTAAAAACATTAAGACACAGAAGTACTGATGGAGTTCAGCGGCACAGCACCTGCCTGGCAAGCACAAGGTCGTGAGTTCGATTCCCAGTACCGGGGAAACCCCCCCCAACAAAAAAGAAGAAGTACTGATGGAGCCAACCATAGTGGTGCATGCCCGTAATACCAGCACTCAGGAGTTTGAGGCAGGAGCATCGCTGTGAGTTCAAGCCTGGACTATACAGTGAGAACCTGTCTCAAAAAAATGGCTGAGGATATAGCACAATGTGAAGGCCCTGAGTTCAAGCCCTAGTACCACAAAAAAGCAAAACCAAAACCAAAAGAAAACAAAGTAAAACCTGAAACACTGATTTTGTAAGATAGTTAGCAAGGTAGCTAATTATATAAAAAGCATTCAAAATCAACTGTGTTTCTATGCACATCAGACAACATGTAATTTACTAAAAATTAGGAGAGCAATAATAAACACATAAGGCATGCTAGAATAAAGCTAACAAGAAGTATATGAGTCTTTTGTGGTAAATATTAAAACTATATCACAACACATTAGAGAGTTAAAGAAACCGACATACCATGTTCATGTATGACATAAGTACTGTAAAGATGTTAATTTCTCCAAACTGGCCTCTAACTACGATGTAATTGCAATCAAAACGTCATTATGATTTTGTGATTATGTGTGTGTAGACACAAGGGTCACACATAAAACCTACTGCTTATTAAGGGAGTCTCTGTTTTAAGAGCTTGAATCAGGAGGCTTGGTGAAGATGGAAGAACAAATTAATAATGAAGCACTGCCAGGAGTGGTGGCAAATGCCTGTAATCCCAGCACTAGTGAGGCTGAGGCAGGAAGACTGCCACAAGTTTAAGGCCAGCTTGGGCTATACAGTGAAATCCTGTCTCAAAAACTGAGGAGAAATAAAAAATTTAAAATGGATTATATAGCATTAAAAATAAATGAAATGTGTAACCTTTATAATATAATATATACTCCAAAATTAACTTCATAAGCCATTTGAGTTAAAAAACAGTCAAGCTGGGCATGGTAGAACAGGCTCGTAATCCCAGCATTTGGGAGACTGAGGCAGGAGGGTTGCCAGGAGTTTGAGGCCAGGCTGGGCTACAGTGTGAGTTAAGGCCAGTTTAAACTACAGTGTGAGACCCTGTCTCAAAACAGAAAAAAAAAATCATATAAAGCTAAATCTTGACTACATAGTTCTTAAAATTCCAAAGGCAGGAAAACGAAACAGCAATACGCACGCACATATGTGATCTGAAAGAAGAATACGATGCTGTTGAGCACCGCCTATTCGTGGGGGGAGCCTGGGACCGAGGCGGGGAGGGAGGCGCAAGTGAGCAGGACAGTGCTGCTGTGCGGTGCTGTGCGGTGCTGTGCGGTGCTGTGCTGTGCTGTGCTGTGCGGGCCTTCCGTTGTCTGACGAGCTCCCACGCGTGCCCTCTGCCGTCAGGCCCACTACCCACACCCACGAGGCAATGCTCCACACACATTACATACATTACAAACCTTGTTTAAAATCAGCTGGCCAGATCAGATGCCACAAAGTGAGCAGAGCAGTTTTATAAATTCCTGTCAATGGGTTTATGTGACCTGGGCCTTTATCCTTCCCAAAGCTCAGAAGCTGACTTTAGGCTCCTCACAAGAAGCCAGAAAAGCAGAAAGAAAAGCTCACCAGCAAAGGGGCTGCATCCCAAGAGCTCACCCAGACGCCTCCCAGGAGGGACAAGGAGAGGGACAGGGACACTAAGGAACGGTCATCGCCAAGAGGTTCTCTCACTGGGACGAACAGCACCAAAACCAGGCAAATTGAACACCCAAAGTTCCATTCTATCTCAGGAAAGACCTACAAAAGTAGTGGCTTTTTTTCTTTACTTCTCACGAACATTTTCTATTAAGCTTTCATGAAATTTTTTTGGGCAGGGGACAGTACTGTGGATTGAACTCAAAGCCTTATGCTGTCTACCACCGAGCTCAATCTCCAGCCCCCCTTTTAAAACTTTTTTAAAATTCTGAGACAGGCTCTTGCTAAGCTGCCCAGGTTGGTCTTACATTTGTGATGCTCCTGCCTCAGCCTCCCAAGTGGCTAGGACTACAGGTGTGGACCACTGCACATAATTCAATTCTTACTCTTTCTGAGACGAGGTGCTCTGACAGCACCTTTACTACCTGAGCACCACACAAATGCTCACAACAGGTACCTGATAGGCCTCAGCGGCCGAGGTGACCACCTGCTCCACCGCACCCACGACAAAGACCCCCTTCTTGATGTGTTCCCGGAGGTACAGCCCCGCCGACGCAGAGTCCAGCAGGTCATAGATCTGCTCGTTGTAGATCTCGATGAAGGAGCACTTGCACAGGAAGCTCTTTCCTGCGCCGGCCTGGAAAGAGAAGCCTCATTAGGCAATCACTGCCGTGAGCTCCGCCCTGCTTCCCAAGCTTGCATCTTGCAGCTGCTCTGGTGTGCGCATTCCTACACCAGTCCCCTCTGACACTGCACAAGGACACCGAGGAGGCAGTGAGCAGTGTCTGAATGAGCAGGGTTCCGCACCAGCACACTTCACAGCAGTAGCGCACTGAACCCAGGAGCCTGGGGGGTTTGAAGAGTGCCTCATAGTCAGCTCTTGCAGGTAGGGACTCCATCGTGTGACACCGAGCATCAGACAGCGCAGTGGTGGGAACCCACAGCATGCATGCTGCAGCCGGCTCTAGAGGTAGACTACAGCCATCACTGAGACAGACTACGGACTTCCTCATGAAGTTTTATTTCAAACGAATATTGTGTCCTTTAAAGACTGAAGATAACCCACAAAAAAGACTCTCTACAAGATTTTTAACCATGGAATTACAGGATGCTGAACTTAATTATTTCACTGTAATATAATTTGTCTAATGGGATGTTAGGAACAGTCTCTGCAAAGAAGTGGTAAAGCAATTTCCTGTCAGTTCCGCTGGTACACAAGTAATGGAACATACAATACTGAGGGTTCTTAGGACTAGAATTCGTCAAGCTAAAGAAGAAATAGAACTTCAGAACAACTCAACCTGAGGCTGGGGAGAGGAGGACCACACTGCAGGCGATGAGCCACACACCGCACAAGCAAGGCACAGTGAGGAGACAGAAGCGCCTTGCAGGAGACACGGACAGGACTGTCACTGCCAAGCGTCACGAGGATCTGGGGATACCTGCAGTCCTGTGAGCCTGGGCTCAGGCAGATGACGGGGCTTTCTCTGTTTTCCTTGGTTGAGAATTTCTTTATACCTTCTCTCTTTACAAACCAAAAGCTCAAACTGAAAGCAAAACTCTCAGAATCTGTTTGAGACAGGGTCTTGCTGTGTAGTTCAGGTTAGCCTTGAACTTGCTATGTAGCTTAGGCTGACCTCAAGTTCACTGCAATCCCCCTGCCCCAGCCCCAGCCCCAGCCTCCGAGTGCTGGGATTACAGGCGCGTGCTGCTATGTCTGGCCCAGAACCTGTAATTTCATCTTAAGAACTGAAAGGGTTTTTATATCACACTAGCTGGCTCATACTGTAGGATGCCATACACACCCCTCCAACTACATGAGCTAACTCCTCAAAACCAGACATTTTGGTGGACTCTTCTATTTTTCCAGTCTTACCTTCTCTCTTTCACGATCAATTAAGGAAAACAAATACTCAAAGCTTCGTGGGATTACTCCTCTCAAATTATGAGAAAAATTATCAGATTCAGATGGTCCTGTAAAAGAAAGAAAAAGCCTGTTATTCTTACGCTATCCCATATCCTCCAAAACAGCAACCCTGAAAGGCAACTTATAAATTTATACAGAAATGCAATGACGCACTGCACTCCTGCTCCTGACAGGATTCACTGAGGTCTGCAGAGGCCAGCGTTTGAGGCGGCCTGCAGATGGGACAGAAGGAGAGCTCAGCAGCCGCCAGACAGTTAGAACAGTGGCTGCTGTCTGATAAACCAACCAATCCACCCAGGAACTGAGCTTGACACCTGTCCAGCTGCCAGGTACAGAAACCGGCAGAAATACCGACCTGACTACACGTGACATCTGCTTTCCTGACAGACCTGCGCTCCAGGCCATGGCCGCACACAGCGTTCTCCAGGGTGAGATGAAGGGACTAACGGTAACCATCACCAACAAAATTACTCAAAACCTGTTTCCTGATCACCTACACTGTGCCAGCCAACACCAGTATGTGCTAACTCTCAAGCAACAGGAAATCCGGTGTGGTGGTGCATGCCTGTAATCCTGGCACTCTGGGAGGCTAAGGCAGAAGGATTACAAATTCAAGCCCAGCCTCAGCAACTTAGCAAAACCCTGTCTCAAGGATGATGACGAAGTAAAACTGAAAAAGGGCTGGAGATAAGCAAAGATACTGCCCATAAAAGGCCTGCCTGCTATCCAGGAACTCACCGTTTGGCAGAATCCTGAGCACATCCCTAGTTTTATGAGACCGATATCTCACATGAAGTTGTTAACGACATGTCGTCATCAGGAAGAATACATTAAGCCAGCGAAGGTTAATCTTTAATTAACTTACCCATCATGGTGAATGTCTTCCCTGAGCCAGTCTGCCCACTGTAAAAAAGAACATCTTATGTATTATTTTTACACTTAAAATTTAGAAGACTATCCTTCCTATTTTAATATTTGTACAAATTTTCCCCACAGAAAGTTATTCTATTTTTTAAATTATTTGATGTAAAAAGTGACTGGTCTAATTTCTTTCCCTTCACTCCCGCTTCAAAGAGCTAACCTGTTAACTGCCCAATAAATGCTTCTAGATTACAAAACAGAACCATCACAATTCCCATTTGCAAAAATTGGCATGATGTCCTCGTACTTCTCTGTAACCTGCTTTTCTCTTCATTTTAGCTGCTTGTTTCTAAGTCAGTAAACAGATGTCTGCATCATTGCCTGTAATGGTTACATACTACTTCACAGATATCAGGAGCTTAAGGAGCAACTTATTTAACCAGAATCCATTGGACTTTTGTTCCCAATTTTGCCACTTTAAATAATGAAGCAATTCCTTTCCTAAATTTTCTGTCTTGGAAAGATATTAAAATATCTGCTTACAGTAAGGCAATTTTAAAAACACTTCTGCTCTAGGTTTGTTTTTTGTGCAGTGTTATACTTCCTGTTACTCTACTTACCAGACACAACAGCAACACACAACTCACACTAAGAAGATCATACTGGAAAGAGCTGTCAATCAGCATGTGAAATGACTTTAACTTAGATTCAAAGCAAAAATATGCAATTTTGAATTTAATTCTTGGTTAAATGTCCTCCCACACTAATAAAAGTATTGTCAGACTGTTTATCTTGTAATTTTGGAAGCTAGCAGGAAAAGCTGTGCAGTAACTAAGAATGAGAAATGGCTATTTCTGAGTCTTCCCAACCCGGCAACGCTAACTATTCCCTAAGCAGGCCCTTGAGGAAGGACACACTGTTAACGATTACTCTAGAATGGGGGCTGTCCTCAACACAGCGGCAAGCACGCTCTCCTACAACAACCTGGTCAGCTCCCAGGGCTTTTTTACTTCTACCTACAATCGCCAAAAGCAACACGCACTAAGTTAGTGATGAATGCACCATGAATTCTGTATGACTATTAGTAGGCCTCCAGGGTCTTCCAAGCAAACAGTTCTGAAGACAGATAAGCTACGGCACTTGTGGTTCTGTCAGATTCTTTTAGAACTTTACCCTGCAAAACTCAGAAAACCTCTCTGCTCTTGGGCAGACATGAGAAAACAGCTTGCTCCTCTGCTCAGAGGGGAACATGTAGTTCTGCTCATCCCATATAAGATAAGCATGATTCCTAGGTACTCAGCAGACTGAGGAAAGACAATCAGAAGTTCAGGTCCAACCCGGGCAATCAGTGAGACCCTATCTCAAAACAGAAAGGACTGGGGTTGAAGCGCAGTGACACAGTGCTCGCCTAGCACCCACGAGGCCCTGGGATCAATCCCCAGTACTAGGAAGAAAAAAGAGGCAAATGTTTACAGTGGAAAACAAGGGAAAGCTTTCACTTCTTAATATAGTCTTTATTTTCTTCAATTTTGAGCCAATTATAGAAGAAATCAGGACATATAGGCCCAAACAAAAAAAAACAAAAAAATATACAATTGCTGCTCAAAATGAATTCTAAAATTCATTGTATTCTATTCAAAACTTGCAGTTTTACACAGAATTAGACAGACTATTGCTAAAAAAAAAACAAAAACAAAACACCCAGACGAGCAGGATGCCTTCTGGCCCCGCAGCTGAAGTCCCAACGTCGGACCCACAGCAGTGCTTTCGGGCCGCTGGCACTGGAAGAACTGGCGTGACCCACACTTCAAGGACACGCTGGTTGGGCAAAGGCAGACCAGCAGAGCTCCTCTGGACTGCACTTTGGCAGCTTCTCATGAAGTCAATCATACCCTAACCATGCGCCCCAGCAACTGCATTCCTAAGTATTTACCCAAGTGATTTGAAAACTCATATCACACAAAATCTAATATTCAAATGTTTGTGGTAGCTTTATTCATATCATTAGGAACAGGAAATAAGCCCGGCCTGGCGGCACAAACTGGAAGGGAGGGTGGACGCCTATAATCCCCACTGCGCTGGAGCCTGAGGCAGGAGGTTTACAAATTTGAGGCCAGACTGGGCAATTTAACAAGACACTATCTCAAAATAAAAAATAAAACAGGCTAGGGCTGTGAGCAGCCCTGGGCTCAGGCTTAAGTACTGCAAGAAAAAAACCACGAGGGAACACAGAGACCCACCTCAAAGGAGTTCCACTGGCCAAGGCCGGAGTAACGTGAGGGACGGAGATGCAGCTTGGGGTATAACCCAAAGTGCAACACCAACCCCCAGGAGACCACAGCATGTAAACAGGTAACACACATGACTAGAAGGAGGGAACAGACACATGTTCTTACAGAGGCATCAAATGGCACAGGCACTCTCCTCCGCAGGCGGTGGGCGGGTCTGACCACACAAGTCCCTAACCTTTGAGACTATGTCCAGCTCTAAGCAGAGCTGTGACTAAGCAAGAAGAGTGGGGCTGGGTGCTGGGGATTTACCTCAGTGGCACAGCACCTGCCTGGCAAGGGCAAAGCCGTGAGTTCAATTCCCAGTACCAGAAAAAAGCCAAAAAAAAACAAAAACAAAAACAAGAAGAGTCGGGCTGGGCGCTGCTGGCGGGGCTGTCAGTTAAGCCATGTGGGTGGCCTCTGGGAACAGAAAGAAGCCAGGATGCAGGCTGCCCTGTACTCCTTCCAGAAAGGACCATGCCCTGCCATCTTCAGTTTAGCACATGTGGCCAGCGCAGAACTTGTGACTTACAGGACTATAGGAACAAATCAATGTTGTTCAACCCACTAAGTTTGCTGTCACTTGTTAGAACAGCAGTAGGTCACCTGAACTAGCATGGACTATCGCACCCTTCCACAGACACAGCCAACAACATACTAGGCGAAGATGGTGCCGTTATAACCGCTCATGCAGGACTCCACGATGCTCTTCGCCACCGTCGAGAACACAGACTCCTACAAAATAAGTGCCGAATAGGTTAACATTTGAGAAACAGGAAACACTTCCCAAACTACATTCTACAGTAAAACAACAAGCTTAGGGGCTGGGGATTTAGCTCAGCGGCAAAAGCGCCTGCCTGGCAAGCGCAAGGTC